TCCCAGCTCTGCTCCCTCCTGGGGCAGAATGAATGGCACTCATCTCTGCAGGGACCCTGTAACCCAGATGGAGGCCAGATCACACCCAACACCTTTCCCTCCCTCCTGTCCTAGCCATGGTCCGCAATCCCCGGGAGCGGGGTGAAATTGGAGCATCCTTGAGGTGCTCCGTATATTGGCAGGTAGGGAGCAATGTTGTACACCCCTTAGTGGGGCTGAGTATGGTGCCTCCACAGCATTCCCATCCCCAGCTGCCTTGGAAGGCAGAGAATGGCTGCAAATCCAGGCTGGTGTCTCCTGCATGGAGATAACTGCCCCTAGTTGTCCTCGGGTTTGGGGTTGGGACTTGTCTCCTATCTGCCAGCTGGTCCAGTATGGGACGTCCCCAAATCTAGGTGTTCTGCCTCATCACTCATGAACAACTCCTGAACCACCAGAAAAGACCTTCAGGCTTCTCACCATCCCACTTCTCCTTTTTGCCTTGTGCAGGGGTTTCCTTGCCCTCATTGGCCTCTAATGTTGTAATATCCAGTATAGGTCTCTTGGCAGCAGCACCCCATGTTGGCTTTCCCCTGTGTCTCCCTCCCTTCCTCTTTCTCTCCGATGCCCCTCACAACAGTACCCTTTGAGTCTCCCCCAGAGCTCCCTTGTAGCATCCTTCCCTGCAGAGAGTGGTAGTACCCATCCCTGACTGGGGCTTGCAGACCTTGTAGGAGGTTTGACGAGAGCCCCTCCCCCTTTAATTGCTGGTTTCTGTGTTAACAGCCACTGCTCGGGGCACCCCCAGTCACTATGGACACCTTCTTTAAAAGGCACTTCAGGAGGAAGGTGTCGTCGTTGGGTTCCCAGCGTGCCAGCATTGTGTCAGTGCCCACTGGCAAAGCCAGGCGGCGCTCCGTGGTGGGCATGCCCTCGGCCTCGCTGGCACAGCGCCGCCGCAGGTCCAGTACCCAGCTGCAGAGCTTTTCCTGCCTGGGCTCCCCAGACAAGGGCAGCATGAGCCCCCGGCGTCGCTCCAGCACCACCCCGCCCCACCTCAGCCCCAGGTTTGCTGTCCAGAAGAAGCGCGGGGGCCAGGTGCGCACCATCGATACCCAACTAATGGGCCCCTCCATGCTACTGGCCAGCCTCATCCAAGTAAGCGAGGCAGAGGAAGGGAGGCGGATGGCCCGTGCCTGAAGGCTCTGGATCCGAGTCGCCCTGGGAGGAGCTAAAGGAGGGCTGTGGCAGGGAGGAGACTGTCGCCTCAGGAGCCAGGTTGGATCGGCGTGAGCTGCAGGCTAAGCTTCCCCCAAGGAGCAGGCGCCCTTCCCTGCACCCTATCGGCATGAGGTCTCTCCTGCAAGCTCCAGGCTGCCTGCGCCGCCGCTCCACCCACCTCCTGCCTGCAGATTTTGTGTACAGCAAAGCAGCCTGTGGGCTGCAGGGCTATTACCGACGCCTCAGTCAGCCACGGCTCTCAGGGGAGATCCCCAGGCCAGGCACTCTGCTCCCACCATGCAGAGCACGGCTGGCTGCCAAGAGATGGAAGGTTCCTACTAGAGCCAGGCGGCCATCAGAAACCATATATGAATGCTTGGGAATGGATCCTGCCTATGGCAACTATGCCAGTGCCTTCCCTAAAGCCTGGAGCCCCCAGCTGCTGTATGTATGGTGTTCCCAAGGGGTTGGGGGGGGGGGGGCTCAGAGTGATAGTCCAGGCCGTGGCTGAGGCAGTATTGAAGGGAGCAGAGATTGGCATAGGGTGTCTAGCTTATCTGGCATGGGGTGGGGAAGGTGAGGGCATGGCTGACGCATTGGCATGGAGTACCAAACCCTGCTGGATCAGGGCAAGTGGAGGGGGTGGGGTGAGGGAGCTGGAGGGTCTGCATGGGGCCTTGGGGTAGGATGAGGGAAGGGGCTAGCACGGGACCCTCTGCCAGGCCTAGCTGCAGCTCCCAGCCATGTGCTCCATAGGTTTGTGGACTAGGAGAGGCCAGGGAGTCAGTGTCTCCATGTCCTTCTCCTCTGATCAAAGGCCAATCAGCCTCTTGTTCATCGGTGTGTGTCTGACTGGCTGCTGAGTTTGTTTTCAGGCTGTTTGCAGTACCCCTGTGCTTGCTGCTTCTCCCAGCTGCTGGTGCCGGGTGCAGGTGTGAATAAGGGATCATGAGAGGGGATGTTTCTGGGATGGGGGAAGGATGTGTCCAGTTTCTCCAGTTGGCTTTCTATGCCCAGCTCCACTGGCTGCTGGGCTCAGAGGCTGCACAACTCCCTGCCCGGGCAGTTACTGGAAATGGCACTGCCATGGTGGGAGGGGTCAAAAGCTTTGCTGAGGTTGTCAGTCCCAGGCGAACGGCTGCTGACCTGGAGACAGCGAGAGCCTCTTGTGAGCAGGGGCCGTGAGCTGCTTCCCCCACTTCTCACCCCACTCCGCCCCACTTCTGCTGGCTCTCGATTCTCTGTCCATTTGTGACATTCAAGTGAGAGGGGGCATCTCTGGGATGTCCCAATGTCTTCAGGAAGAGTCCCCACCCTTGCGACCTTTGCCCATCTTTGGGAAGAGGGGCTACTCCCACCAGGTCAAATCAGAAGCTTTTTGTGTGTAATGTGATGCCCCTGAGTGGGGCATCAACCCCCTGGGCCTCTGGATCTAAAAACATGAGCGTCTACTGCCTGGGCAAATCCCAGATCTGTAGCTCTAGCAGACTCCCAAGCTGCTCTGTGGCTCAGTCACCGCTAGAGGGGCATACTGCGTAGGTGTGGCTTGTGAGAGCCTATATCTCACCACTGCAGGGAACCCTTCACCAGCTCATCCTCATGGCATATGCGGAAGGGTGGATATTGACCAGCCTGTCATTATAGTGAATTCAGCCTCAGCCCAGGTTTCTGGCTTTGAGTGATACTAATGAACAATGCTCTGCCCCCCTTAGCCTCTTCCTTCTGAAGAGTTTATGATGCCTTGCGTGCATTTATGTTCCCACCTGTTTTTATAGCCACCCCTCCCTCTTTCTTCCAGGAAAGCCATCGCCAAGTCCGGCCTCCAGCACATGGTATCCCAGCCGAACCCCACACTAGCCCTGAGGAGTGAATCAGAGAGGCAGATCCGCAGCACTGTGGACTGGAGTGTAGGTTGCCTTTAATTTTCCTTGGTGCTTGGGAGGGGACTCTGATGTTACAGTGGCTGACTCGGCTTGTGGCCATTCCCAGGAGGAGGGCCATAAGGCTGTACCAGGTGGCTCCTGTTTTGACATTCGTAGCTTGTGGCTAGCAGCTGGTGCTTTCTGATGTTGCTGGGTAAAGTGCCTTGATGCTGGGGGAAATAGACAGGGCATTCGCTCTCATTCCCCACTGCTACTATACAGCCATCCATTCTGCACGTGGGAATGGAGACCTGGTGAGTGGTGGAAGGCACTGCTCTCCTTGTTGGGGATGCACAGACAAAGCTGAACCCATTGTGAGCTGCATCCTCAGAGGCCTCGTGTCCTGATGCAGGGTGGGGACAATCCTTCTCTACAACTGTGGGGAGACCTAGCTGGGATCGTGCCTTCTGCTCTGGTCCCCTCGTCTCCAGAGGCCTTGTGTTTGGAAGCTGAGAGGGGATGGTTCTCACCTGGAACACTGTGAAGGGCATTCAGAGAAGAGCAGAAACAGTCAGGGGGCTGAAGGGTTTGACCTGTGAGGAGAGATGTGTCCAGTTCAGCTCAGCAGTGTGTGAGTGGGGCCATGTCAGTCTGCCAGTAACGGAGCGAGGGGTGCAAACCTCCGGATGGGACACTGGGGCGGAGCGGGTGACAGGAAGTAAGGGGGAAATGTAAGCTGAATCTCAGGAAAACTCCTTAGCAATGAGGTGAATTTGCCCAGGAGAATCCTCTCCCGGACAGCCCCATTGTTTACAGCTAGACAGGATAGCATCCTACGGGCAGTACTTTTACATTTCTGACATGTCTGGGCCATGGTGGGAGCTTTGGGCAGGTTTTCTGGATATGCCCTCGCTCTGGAGAGTGGGCCTCTGTGCAGCCTGTGATCACAGCGGTGCTCTGTAGCACAATGTATTGTGGATCTGGGATGGTCAGCTGGGATATTCATCATGTTGGGATCCGAGGCCAGGTCCTGACAGTGTGGGGACTCTTATGGCCCATCGGAGAAGTGCAACGATATCTCTTGTGCCTACCAGGAAACTGCAATCTACGGGGAGCACATCTGGTTTGAGACCAGCGGCTCTGGGGATTTCTGCTATGTGGGGGAACAGAACTGTGTGGCCAAGATGCTGGTAAGTCAGGCACAGTGACCCCGTCATCAGCTCGGCTTGGTCTAGATACAAGACTGTGCTGCCACCTAGTGGGAAAAACCTGGGGATCCCTTTCTGCACTCAGTAGCCTGGCATTTCTCAAATGCGGCCACCAAGGTCTTTTCTTGCCCCCACAGCCTGCTGGGTGGTGATAGAGGGAGGGGCCCAAAGCAGCAGCCCCTCCCCTAGGGCTGCCATCAGTGGTTGGGCCTTGCCCCCCTTTGGGGAGATACAAGCTGGAGGAGCAGATAGCCAATGTGAGTTCCCCACTTTCCCGGGGGTGGTGGGGTCAGGCTTCAGCCTTGGGGTGGCAGGTTCCACCCATGTGGCTTTGAGCTCCATCCCCATCCCTGTGTGTGAGGCTTCAGTCTCTGTTCCCTGACTGCGCGGTGGCAGGCTCTAGCCCCAAGCATAGCCCTTATCATCACCTCTGGTCCCCGCTGCTTCTCCCAGTGCCCTATTGCCCCTGGCCCTTGCTGCCGCTGTACCCACCTTCCTATCCAGGGCTTAATTTGTCCCCAGGCTTGCTGGAGCTGAGTAAGTCTGCTGTGAAAAGTGATATTTGTATATTAGTTATAATATCACTTTTCACAACAGACTTAGTAGCTAGCCAGTCTCCCCCCTCCAAAAAAAAGCAACCAGAAATGCAAAAGAAACAAGAAAAAAGACAAGAACATGCTAAGCACCTAAAACCCTACATAAATAAATTACAATGGTTTGGACATGTGTATGTGCATATTTATTGAGTTTTTCCTAAAATTGAGCAAGTATTTTCGGAAAAATTGTCAGAGCGGCCACCAGCAAGAGTTGGTGGCCGCACTCTGAGCCCACCAAAAAATTTGTTGGGAGAACCCCAGTGGAAGTTCTCAGGCATTGTGGGGTCCAACAAAGAAGGGGTTAACACTTGTAGGGCCAGTGAGGGATATGGAAAATGTTCTGCTCTAGATTCTGCCTGCTGCTAATGCTGCTTTGAGTCTGGAAAGTTGCTGCATCTGAGCTGGCAGCAGGCACCAGGGCCTCTGGGTATCTCCGTGGCTAGGATCCAGCTGGCTGAGTTGATAGAGAGTTTCTGTGAGTGGCTCTAGTGACCCCAGTTGCCCCAAGAGAGAATTTAATTCCAGAACTTTCCAGGAAGGATCTTGCTATAAAAGGAAGAACCAAAAAGTGGAAGCCCATGCCCTGCAGTTACATGACTGCAGGCTGGGCCGCCCATAGGGGCAACGCCCTCGGAGTCGCTGCAGCCTTCCCTCTCTAAGTGCAGGTTGCGTCCAGCTGCGAGTGCTGGGATCTGAGGATGGTGTCCATCTGATGGATGTTCATTGGTCTGGGTGAAATGAGCTTGAGTCACAGCCTGATGGGCAGCACCAAAACTGCCACAGGTGGCAGTGATTGGCTGCCTGGTGCCAGTGTCAGAAGAGATTGAGGAGTGATCTGCCAATGGAGAGTGCCTTCGCCTCTTGCCCCAGGGCAGGGCTGAGGCAGGCTGGGGGTCGAGCATTCAGATCAAGGGAGGAGGCTTTTTACCTGCGGTGATCCTTATGGCTTCCCATCCTGTAGCGTGCTGAGCTGCTCGCTCTCAGGAATGCCCGCCTCGGAGTGGAGGAGGAGTGAGTGGAGCTCCAAGGCTTCCAGAGTGTAAATAAATACTGACGTTAACATAGGGACTTTTCCTTCTTTCAGCAGAAACCTCTGACCAGACGCAAGTGTGCAGCCTGCAAAATTGTAGTGCATACACCCTGCATAGAACAGCTGGAGAAAGTGAGTAAAGCCCAACACAGGTCGCTCCTGGGCCTGAAGAGCTGGTTACCCCTTACCTGGGCTACAGCATGGGGCCAGCACTGAACCCCATGTGCTTTGGTTAACCATTGTCGTGACAGGCAGGTGCCTCCTGAGGGGACAGTTTAGTGGGGAAACAGACTTTTAGCAGATCTCCTGGCATTTTAGCCCCAAGGGCTGGTGAATTGTTCCTTTGGTAGGGGGTTGGATGAGGATCCCAGATAAGCATCAAATGTCCCAGGAAGCTCCCAGGCCTGCCACATTGAACACGACTCCAGTAGGTTTCTTTTAGTAGATGGTTTCACGGATGCCTCTCTCGTGTGTGTTAAATCTGCAGATAAATTTCCGCTGCAAGCCTTCCTTCAGGGAGTCGGGATCAAGGAACGTTCGGGAGGTGAGAGACTCAGCTGGATTGCTTGCTGTGTTTGCCAGGAGGAAGTCCCGTCCCCTTCTAGTTTGGTGGCAGAGGGCTCAGGGTGCCGGGGAAGGGGCTTAGCTTGGTTTGTTGTGGAAGCAGCAGAAAGTCTGGGCATTTTCAAGTGTGGCAGGAGCCCCTGAGTCTGTGCTACCAGTGAAACCTCTGGGCACTGAAGGGGCACGGTCACCCATCCTGTGGGGCATTTCTTTGAAATGCATCTGCACGGGATTGGTGCTAGTATGGGGCGAATCTCAGATCATTCAGGGGCAGATCCGCTTCTGGTCAGTCAGCTGCTGATCTGCATTCTCAGAACCTCCTGGGCCTGCCAGGCTGGGCCAAAGACACCTCAAGGCCAGCCTTTCCCAGGAGGAATTTCAGCCCATCTGGTGCTGGCCCTGAGAGAATGAAAGAACAGTTGAACTTTTGCAGGCCTCCTGGAAGGTTGTGTGGAGTTCGGGGAGAAGAGCTGGGTTTTTGCTCTATCGCCCAGCCCGGTTAGCTGCACTTATTGCCACAGTACCTGAACTTGCCCCTGGTTAACTCTGGTGCACCTCTTATCTGTGGGGACTCTGGCTTGTATGTCTGTTAGGTCCTATCTACTTCATCTCTCCCATCCAGGGCAGGATTGTCCCCTATAGTCTGTACTGCATGGCTGTGTCCAGGCCAAGTTAAACGTGCACTGTAGCACTTTAAACCATTTCCCGTGTGGTGTCCTTTGCTGCCATCTCTCCAGTATGCCCTACAGTGTGACCCAGGAAGGAGTAAATGGCTGCCTAGCACCGCTTTCAGGAGAAACACAGTAATGCCCCCTCAGGAGCTCTCCTGCAAACCTCTGTGCTGCAGGGGTGTGACCAGCAACAGCACCCTGTGCCTTCCCTAGGGATGTGGAGCTCTCCATGGTGCTGAAAGGTGGGGGTGGAGGGAACTGGAGAGTATCCATACAAACTAGTCTTAAGGCAGTTCCAAACTAGCAGACATGTCCAGAAGAGCTTTTGGTAGGTCATAGGCCAGGGATCTTCATGGGGAATACACACACCTGGGATTCACCTGAACAGCTACTGCACTAGCTTTTAGATTAGAAGCACCCAAGAATCTCTCCTCTGCGATCTCCATAGAGAACCTAATCCAATCGGTTTCCAAGGTGCCCATCATTATGGTATCTGGGCTCTCTTATCCCTCAAATTTACCTTACCAGCTTTAACCAGGAAATAGGGGTTAGATCCCAGACCTTGACGGTGCTATAAGGAAAGCACCCTCCAGAATTCATCATTCCAACCACTGAACAGTAGGAAGCAGAACCTAGGGAAGGAAGAATAAACAAAGGTGTGAATGCATGGACAGCAGCTGTTCATGGGGGGCAGACAGTGCTCTTGGACTAAGCAGCAAACTCGGACTCCCCTATGCTCCCCAACCTGTGCTTCTTCCTTCTCCCCTCCAGATGGAGGAGTAAAATTGGGGGGAAGAGAGAAGAAATACTGTGTTTAAACAGACGCACCTCTTTCCCCCTCCTCACCACCCAGTACAAGCTGGGGGAAATATACTGCCTCCTTCTTCCATCTCTCCCTAAAATTACTCCCCTGGCTGGAGAGGGTGGACGTGCCATCCTGGTAGCCGTTAGGGACCAGCACTGTGCTTGGCGGTCCCCTGTCACAGAACGAGCTGCCCCTGCCCCATGGGGCTCCCAGGCTCAGGCACAGAGAAGATGGCTGTGTTTGAATGCCTCTCACTCTGTTGTTGCCAGCGTGAGGGGGCGCCAGTTCAGGCAGCACGTGCTGGCTGACCATCGCCATATGGATTTAGCTCCACTCATGATTAAGTCGGACTGCTGGGAGAACAGGGTGAGCAGAGGGAGTTCCGGGGAACTTAATTTCTCTCCTCAGTGACTGATGTGGTCTGGAGCTCAGCAGTTTCAGCTCTTTGCCTTCGTCATCTGTGTTCAGGGCCGCAGGTGTCTCCGGTGTGTCTTCTGTGACCGTGAGCTAGGTGGGGCATCTGTTTTCCATTAGGCCTGTGGCAGAGAAATGGTTTGCCATGGGGAGTGGGAGGCAGCGTGGATTCACGGCATTTCTTTTTCTGATTTTTCGTCATAATTGTGACACTTCCCAGGGTACCCAGGGCTGTGAGGCACCTCGCTGTCACCTGCCCTTAGGGTGAGGAAGTCTTGTCTGTGCCTGCTGTGTGTCAGCTCCCTGACTCCATCAGCCTCCAGCAACACAAACACTCCCCTCCAAGCCTCCGCAGACCTTATTTTCTCTCTGCAGGTTAGCAATAGGCACCCTAACCTCCCTGTCCTCCAAGCATCCCCTTTAGAGTCCAGCCCCTGCTCCACTGGACACTCACAGAATTACCAGGCCTGCTGTCCCAAAGCTGACTACACAGCTCTGCTAAACACACAGCACTTAAACATATTCCCAGTGAAAACAAGAATACATTTATTATCAAAGAACAGAGAGTCAGGTGACAGTAAGAATATTGGAAACAAATGGTTATGTATAATACAAAATCACAATACCTTTCTAGAGACTAAACGTAATGAACAAGTTACCCTCCTGTCCAAAGAAGCTCATCTCACCCACAGTTCTCTCCAGCGTTTTCAAGCAAGCCTGGTTGAGATTCCTTTCTCATGATGCAAACATGCTGTCTGTTTAGGGTGAAGGATGCCTGGGTGTTCTCTTTGCCCCCCAAATGTACCAGAACAAACCTTTGACGTGCACCTCACGATAGGGTTTCCTCCTCCCCTCCCCACATGGGTTTCTCCTGGGGGTTGTTGAGAGCAGCACTGGAGGATAAGGCACCTGGCATCTCAGTCAGGTACCCTGTGTCTGGGCTTTCATCTCCCTGGTCTCTCCCAGAGCTGAGTGCTCGTGCTTCTGAATCTCTCCAGTGTCTGGGCTGAGATGTTCCATGGGGCTTCTGCAGTATCCTCTTGGCGCTAGAGAGATTGCAAAGGAGGATTCCATTCCGTATGGGCCAGAGAAGAGGCCAGGCCACTGTGGGTCCCAGCCAAGGAGTGTGCTAACAGGATCATGTCCGTACTTTTCTCTGCGGTCTCTTTGAACCTGGCCTTGTGTTTCCGTTTAGCCCATAGTCGTCCGGCATCACTGGGTGCACCGGAGACGCCAGGAAGGGAAGTGCCGGCAGTGCGGAAAGGTGAGAAGGGCTGAAGAAAAGCCGAGGTTAGGCAGGGAAGGGGAAGGTGGTAGGTGTGGGGAACATAGAGAGGAACCACTGGAGCAGGACGCGCACAAGCCCTGCTGGGAGGGGATAGCCCCCTCGCAGGTAGTGATGCTACCATTCCCTATATTGCCGCCTACTGGCAGCACAGCCAGCACTCCCTCAATCCCCACGTCCATCCAGTCATAAAGATTTTCACACAAACTGATCTCCCAATCTGTTCTGGAGGGACCCCCCCCAGGCACCTTTGGCTGAGTCCTTGCCCTCAGATCCGGAGATGCTTGTCCCAAACACGTTGAATTCCCTCATGCCAGGGCTGTGGGTAGGGAACTGTCCAACTGAGACCTGAGCTGCATTGGCTGCAGAAGGACTCTTGTGGCTAACATCTGCTGTAGCTGGGGAGCAGCTGTTCCTCTTCCTGTGCGCCCCTCGCTGCACTGCGGAGAGTTGTCAGGAGCCTCACGACCCGCCTCCTTCCCTCTGCAGGGTTTCCAGCAGAAGTTTGCCTTTCACAGCAAGGAGATTGTAGCCATCAGCTGTTCCTGGTGTAAGCAAGCGGTGAGTGCAGCCCTACCCTGAGTTAATGGCCTAATGACTTCTGATGGCCAGGTGCGTTCTAGTGCAAGCTGGAAGCTCCCCACAGCTGCTGCTCCTGCCCCAGACCCTGCAGCACCTCTTACTGAGAGAGGCTGGGATTGGAGTAGCTGGGAGCGCCTCTCACAGCCAGGGTTCCCGCCCTTTTCCTGCAATGCCTCCTGTTGGGAGCCTTCACATTGTTAGGCTCCTGCTGCGTTTCCTACAGCGCTCCCTGCTGGAGGCAGAGGTGCTGTGAGTGTTCAGAGCTGGGCTTCCCAGGCCAGGCCTCAGCAATCGAGTGCTGCATTCTCTCTCCCTCGCAGTATCACAGTAAGGTGTCGTGCTTCATGCTGCAATGCATTGAGGAGCCGTGCTCGCTGGGGGCTCATGCTGCTGTCGTCATCCCGCCAACCTGGATTCTGCGGGTCCGGCGCCCCCAGGTGAGTCGCTCCCTCGGGCTTCGCTCCTGTTTAATCAGCAGCTCCTGATCGACTGGCAGCTGCTGACATGGTTTTTCTCTTTGCTAGAATACACTGAAGTCCAGTAAGAAAAAGAAGAGGACATCGTTCAAGCGGAAATCCAGCAAAAAGGGGGCGGAGGTCAGAGAATGAGGCTTGTGTTGACTGGGAATTGGCGAGGGGGGTGGGGAATGGGAGTTGGAGAAGGTTTGCTGGTCACAGGGTATGGTCTGAGACATGGAGCGGATAAAAATGAGGTGGAGGGAAGGTGCTGGGAATGAGGGTCATTCGCAATTGTAAGATCTCTCAAAGGGGTGTTTAAAAAGAGAACAGAAAGGCTGGCATGTGGATCCCACTCTCACTGGAGTGCTCCTGCCCTTGAGGCTGGGAGGGTGGATCCCAGTGCTAGGGCTCTGGGGGGTAGATCCTGCTGCTGTCCTTGGGGCTGGGAGGGTGGATCCCAGTGCTAGGGCTCTGGGGGTGGCTGGAATGTTCAGTGTTTTGTCTCCAACTTCAGACCTTAGTGACTTTAAATTTCAGTTGCAGGCAGGAACTTGTGTTTTCCCCATGTTTATTGATGGTGTTGTGGTGTCTCTTGCAGGAGGGGCGATGGAAACCCTTTGTCATCAAGCCTACGCCAGCCCCACTCATGAAGCCCCTGCTGGTGTTTGTGAACCCCAAGAGTGGTGGGAATCAGGTAGGGACATTTTCTGACATGTTCCTGGATAGCCAGCTCCATGGAGGCCTTGCATCCCAACTGCTGAGAATCCAGCATGTTCGGTGATGTCTCAGCTGCAAATACAGAAGCAGCTTACTCCCTGGCATCTCCTCTTGAGGCCAGGCCTTGCCTGACTATCCAGGACTGCAGATTCGCATCACCTCTGTCTAAGACTCTGCTTCCTCCCTGCCCTGCACCATCCCATTGGGATTGTCTGTATACTGTTTCCTGAAGTCTTTCATCCTTTTAGGGAGCCAAGATCATCCAGTCCTTCATGTGGTATCTCAACCCACGACAAGTCTTTGACCTCAACCAGGGCGGCCCCAAAGAGGCGTGAGTACTGACTCAGGGAGCCCCATCCCCTTCTCCCACTGTCTCCTCCAATAGGAGCTTTGGCCCCTTCTCTTCCAGCTGGCCGCTAGTGTGGGACTGACGCTCTAGGAAAGGCCCTTGGGAAGAGCTGTGTGGCTGGACACCCAGTGCAAGTTCAAAGCCTGGGAAGTGTCTCTGGGGACTGATCCCATTTCACTTCCCAGTCAGTCCTGGCTCCCTTGTGTTTCCAGGAGGAAGGATGGCCGAATGGTTAAGGCACAGGGCTGGGAGCCAGACTCCTGGGTTCTATTCCCAGCTCTGTCACTAGCCTGTTCTGTGACCTGGGGCCAATCCCATTCCCTCTCTACACCTGCGTTTCTCCATCTGTACAATGGGGATAATAATCCTGGCTTCCTTTTCCAGGGGCCTGTGAAGATAAATTCATTACAATGTGTCAAATGCCATGAGGCTCTAGGGTGAAGAGAGGGGTCCAGGATTGTGACTCCTCTAATGGACCGCCTGAGAGAGGAACCCATTGCAAACACTGGCTGGTGCATTCCCAGCTTCAAGCGTCTCCGTGATTCTCCCGCCTTTCCCTGATCCCCTCCGCTTTCTGCTTCCCTGCAGGCTGGAGATATATCGGAAAGTGCACAACCTGCGGATCCTGGCGTGTGGGGGGGATGGCACGGTGAGTGACCCTGACCTCTGAGTTGTCAAGGGACGTGGCTGGTGCCTTGATCCAAACCCCTTGCCCTTCCAGGAGAGGTGGCAGCTTCCTTGATCTAATCCAGAGGTGGGCAAAATGGGTCCCCCAAGTTCTGTAATATGGCTCACAGCCCCCTGTGACTACAGGTCCCAGCATGCAATGCTCCATCTTCATCTCAGAAGCTAGCTTTGTGGGCTACGTCTCCATGCTAGAGATGAGGGTGGCTGCAATGGTCTCCTTTTGATGCCATTTAGGTGCAGCCCTGGAGCTCCTGACAAGTTGCTGGCACAGCCCTGAGCTGGGCAAAGTTTGGGAGCCAGAGTGAGTTCAGGCTTCACCCATCTAAGCTGTCTGC